TAGACGAATATGAGCGAAAAGTGTTTTTATTATTCACCTACATAGTTGCCATTCACAACTGCGTTTCTATCAAAAGAGGCACTGAATCACGTCACTGTAGAGCATGACCATTGCCACTTCATTCGTGGTTGGCGTCATTGGAATTCATCATTAAACGCGATTGAAATTTGAAAGGATTTGTTCACTCAAAAACTGATTTCCTTATGATTCCTTTTTTCCTTATGAGAACAGATTCGCGCACCAATTTCAAACCAAAATATCAAACCTACAAAATATAAGTGATAACTCCAACGCTCCACATATCCGTATGATAGTCAAGCTGCTCGTACTTGATGACCTCCGGAGCCGCAAATTCTGGGGTACCCGCCATATAGCGAAGTTCCTGAAAACAGTGTTTTCGACAACAGGAGCCTCAGCCCATCCCAAACTTTCAATCTCTTAACGGACTGTTCAGCCATGTACAATAGCAGTGATGATATTTCTTAGAAGGGGGGATTTAGGGGATTGGGCGGCATTTCTGGCTTTTGTGTAAGGTGATTGCTCAACGGGTCGTGTTGTAGTGGAAAGAACAAAGAGGTCGGTTCCGGTGGGGTTATGTCTGGGAAACTCTCAAGAAAGGTGTATGAAATAACCAAAATCAGACCTATGTAGTTATTTGTTTAGTCGTACTATGCCACATATCCCTCCCTGCCCGCACGACTGCAAAAATGAATGTGTTCGAGGTTGGAGTGTGTCGACTGATCTCAGAATCTGATGCTATATTAAAGCCATCATGGTATGGGTGGTGATGGGTAGTGTTTAGAGGTCGTATAGAAGACCTCTACTGAAAGGCGATGGTGTAGTAAGGGGCATGTCGGGGCCTTCTCAAAGTATAGGGGGACGCTAAATCTGGAATTCTTCTCAACATCACGAATGACCCGGGCAAAAAGTGTTTGCTCATTTATTTTGAAGCCATTCTCGAAATATCACAGCACTCCGTGAACTCACTTTTCACGCGTAAATATGCTATGACTCAGCGTTCCGCTTTACTTTTTACATTTTAGTTTTTCATGTAACTGTATCTAATTGAATTTCCAAATACCCAAATACCCACCTGTGTTCCATCATAGTGCCGAGCTAGACCGAAGTCTATCAACTTGATCCGGTTTCCCGTCTGTGAGACACACATGATATTCTCAGGCTATAACAAAGCTCCTCTTTCAGAGTCATATTAAAATAAGATTCTAAAAAACCCGTTTTTTTACTTCCTCAATCTAAGGTCTCCACAAGATAGCACGAAAGTTTGCTCTATCGCTTAGCGGAATTCCGAAAGAAAAAAGTCTTACCTTGATATCTAAATGAAGAATGTTCATCTCATGGATGTAGTCGATGGCTTCACAGAGCTGACATATGATCATCACCACCGCCAGTTCCGTAAGAACGTAGCTCTCATCTGCCACTCGATCGAAAAGTTCTCCTCCTCGGACTCTGAAACTTCGCTAAGCTCATCAAACATTCGCTATAGCGATTAGGGACCACCATTTTCAAGTTCCGCCAATGACATACTCGGGGTGAACAAGTGTAGAAGATGCCGTTTGTATTCATTATAATGTGTGCAGTGTCATTTGTGTGAGAGTACCCGGAATGTTATGAGGCTGGCTAATTTTTGAATCAAACTAAAACTACACCACTAATGATATCCAGCTCAACTGATGAAGTAAGAAAGTGTAGCAGACCAGTCGGTACGGTATGACGCACGGAATTTCTCGAAGAGCTTTCGTGATTTCTGATATGCTATTGGTTCCACTTTCAAACAAGAGATCATTCTAGGACAAAGAAGGAGTGTTTTCTTTGAAAATTCGTGCGACGTTCTCTTTGGTGTGGATTATTGCACAATTTGGTTACCATCCGACTGGTAATGAACACAACTAAAGAAATCACGGTGCTATCTTAGTTGGGGGGGGGGGGGGCCACGCGGCGGCGCGGCGCTCTGTTCGTCTCCTCCTCAAAAGGCTTAGTCCCAGGGGCAGTTACGGTGCTATACAAGTAATGTCGCCGCATTTTTTGAACAGAAAAGTATGTCAGTAGGACTGTTGCCCGCTGCTGTACTGTCACGAGAATCGGGGAATTCGTGAGCCAGGGGGAGTGTAGCCAATCTAGGGGGGGGGGGGGGTGAGGGCAGCCACTTGACATGCGTGAAAAGCTGGACGTGCCCATCCCACTTGTATAGAGCCGCAGTTACTATTTCGCCATCACATGACAGTTTCGAAATAGGCGCCATCGAGGACTAAGCCTTGCAGGAGGAGGCGAACAGAGCGCCGCGCCGCCGCGTGGCCCCTCCCAACTAAGATATGTAGCACCGAAATCACTACTAGTTCTCGAAAGCAGATTACATGGCGATTCTCAAGGAGTTCTTCGATTAGAACGAAGATTAGAGAATGGGTACCCAGTAAAGAGGGAGAAAGCGAATTGAGACAACTCGTCCAGACGCCCCCACTTCTCCCTGCATTTCAAGGGAGAGAAAAGGAAGTCCTCATTTGAGTCTTCACTGACGGTTTGTGTTGTTTCGTTTTTCATTCTGAGTCGGTTCGGCATTTACAATGGTTTTCTCATTTCTCATTTTTTTTCTCAATGGTTGGCGGCTGATAACTCGTCCTGGTAGTGGAAAGAGGAAAAACAGTCAATGAGATGTGCGTTATCTCCTCTATTCGCACGATCAGCGTGCCGTGTTCATGTATGTTATAGTGCATTCGCAATAGTTCACACATGAGCAACCGTGGAACCTTCATGGATCGCTTCTATCGACGACCATGTGAAGGGAGTACTAAATTTACCTAATTTCCTTCACACACAAACACGGTGCCCCAAACTTCCCCCTCCCGTTCTATTTCTACAGGCTTCTGTAG